CTTTAGCGTTATTATCACACATTTATCACACCTTTTGATTTGCTCGGAAATCCCCTTATAATCCTGTATTTTTGTCGATTAATAGGCCTTTTTTCCATAATTCTTGTACGTACTTTGTTTTATTTCTTCCTAATATTTTTGACCTTTAGCTAGCTCTCTTTCTCTCTATTCACTTATATATTTATTAGATACCGGGAATCGGAGTATTAATTCATTTCATTTATATTTTATTTCGTGATTTTTATCACGCGGGTACTTTATAAATATGGGCCCCCCATTTATTTGGGTATTATATTACATTTTCGTAACATACATTTCATTTTATTGGTACATAAACTTTTTTTTCTATATCAAGGTAAAAAGTACCTTGGATTGTGCGCACAACCTTGAGGTCTATGTTTTTTTAAGTCACTTTAAAAGGACTCCAACAATTGTCACAGAGGAAAACTAAGTTCGCACCATGATCCAACGAAGGATGTGACCTCAATGTACCATTAATAAGGGTAACAAATTTAAGACTTCTCTGGTCCCTGTATACCAGTGTGTAACAGTACTAATATGAGTAAACTCAGTTACATCACTTGTGCTGAAGGCGTTGTTCCCTAGTACCCGTTACTCCGATTTCATCGTCCAATCACGGAAATATACCCTACTCGAGGACTACATGCTATACCAGTGATGAACGTTCCCGTATCTCTCTATCATTTATTTCTCATGGTCATCTTTTTTATTATCTTCATAAATCTTTGTCTGTATCGGTGTATCGGTTTATTAACATAACCAGAGTTTGGGCCCTAAACATTGGCTAAGATAATATCCGATAGCCTAATTCTTTCATTCCAATAACTAGCACAATATTGATATTAAAATTGCATAGTTTCTAATAATTTATCTAAACATCACATAAATCATTCTACATATACAATATATATTACAACATTTAAAATCCATACTTATTATATTCCTTTCTTTGCCGTAGTCTGTCTTCAACTTTCACACATCCATACCAAAACCTCAACATTCTTCAAGAGAAAAAAAATTAACACAACCATAGTTGTTCATAAGTTCATCTAGCCGATTACAGATACTCGTAGTTAAGTTAATATTTTACTGTTCTTTTCAAATATATACACCATCCCAATATATTTGAACACAACCTTAGTGTCATCACATCTATCAATACTACCACTCTCATACAGTTTCCTTTGTATACTTTGACTTAAGACTTTTTTTTTATTCTATTCTGTCTTTTACTCTTTTGTGCAAATAGTTTATACTTTTAAGGCACAAACAATTGTTTTTCCATACTACATAAACTTTATGTTTTGACATCATTAATCCTATTTCGCATTTTTTTTTCTGTTATATAAGTTGTTTAACATTTGTCTTAGCTTCAATAGTTCATAAGTCATTAGAGTTTAGAGCCATTACCTAAATTCAATAATCATATTATCTCAAAAAAAAAGTATCGAACTACTATACAGTTTTGCATTACAAAATAATAGTTTATTTTATCAAGTCTTTTTTTATCAATTGAATACTGGATTTTAACAGCAGATAAAGTAAATGAAAAAGTATAAACTCAATATTTTGAAGGCAAGTCAGGAGACAACAGTAGTGTATATTAATGCATCATTCTGTATCACTATATTACACGTAGTTAATATTCTGATGCCTTATATGCAAAAGATCATGTCAGCATTGTTTAGAATTTGATGCGCAATGTTAATACAAAGAAAACATGATATTACATTTCGATGAATTCTTAAATAATATCTGTATAAAATATTGCAATTTTCGTTATTAATAAAATATATCAGTTAATATTCTTTTGAGTTATTAAGTTAAGCTGCGTTTTAAATTAATATTATTCATCGATCAATTTATCTTTTACAAAATTTATTCATTGACTTGTCGTTTATCTGATAGCAATATAATGAAGTTCCTATTTTTTTTCTCATTCATTATGTTAAATATTTTAGAACAAAATAGATAATCAAAATAATCACGCCATAATAATAAGGATATGAATATACAAGTAGCACTTGCTTTCTATTGAGAGTGTTCCATCTATTAAATGAACAAAATGAGTAAACAAAATTGGTAAAAAACATGTCTAAATATGATTGGTGACTAAAGTTATTATATTTTTAATTTTATGAAATTAAAATTTTAAAAGAGATACATATTTAAAATCACTCACCTTAAAAATATAATAATATTATTTGCATTTTATACAGTAATTGTTTTGCAGATACATCAAGCATATTTTTCACATTATAGTCTCTATTAAATTTTTTTTTATGTTTCTTGAATATAACATACTTCCCGTTTCCTTGTAGATGGAATACACAAAGAATTCAGCCCTCCTAAAAACTGGCCACTCGATTAAATTCTTGATAATTTTATGTTTTGATAAATATCTCCTTTTTGTTTTGCTTGGTTGTTACAAGTTTTCGAAAATTGTGTATATATCTTGATAATGTAAAATTTCTTACGTGAACACCATTGCGTATTTCAATTTAGATCTTCTCAACCAATATTCTTCTTATCCAGAGTGAAAAGGTTATTTCTCTCATGTTCTTTTATCCTTTTTGATGCCTCTTTGCCTTCCTTTTGATTTTATACTTATAATGTTTTAATTTTATTTTATAAATATTTATTCAAAATGATATAATTTTTTGATGGCTGGCTCTACACGACTTCAATTAATTTCCTCAATCCGGGAATGTGTCATAATTTTTAATTAACAATTTCTTAATAAATATATTATAATTTTACTATCGGTGACCAGCCGGTGCACGCGGCGAGCGGAGTCGCGCGCGCACCGACTGGCAGGGTCGCCATGTAATGTCGGGAGGTTCGGGAAATAAATAATAGGTCTACTGGTCTTGAATGTAGGTTTATTACTGCCCGAATGTTTATTAGGCTATCATATATATATATAGCTACATGAGCATACACTACACACACACTACAATAGTAAAGTAATATCTTTATAGATGGTTTGGCCACATCGAGAGAATGAATGAAGAACGATTGACGAAAAAAGTGTATAAGGCGAGTGTGAATGGAAGTGCTGGAAGGGGTAGACCTAGGCGAACTTTTCTAGACCAAATTAGGGACGTCTTGAAAAAAGGCCAGGTTAAGAGTACCCTAAACCGTAGAGCACGTATGAAGGGAATAATGAAAGTAGACGAAGCGAAACAAGTATAGTAGTAGAAGTAAGGATCGTAGCAAGTCAAAAGAAGTGGTCTCTGCCTACCCCTACGGGAAAGAGGCGTGATTATATGTATGTATGTATGTTTATTTAAATCTGGTAGTACATTGGACCCCGCTAATTTTAGACTTATTTCTGTACTACCAACTCTCAGTAAAACTTTTGAAAAGATAAATTTAGATAAATTGTTAATTTTTTTAAGAAAAATAAATTACTCCATAAAAGTCAATTTGGTTTCACAAGGGGTCTCGACGACTGACACAGCTGTCGAGCTTATGAAATATATTTTTAATGCCTGGGAGAGTTCACTAGATGCCTTAGGTATTTTTTGTGATCCTTCCAAGGCTTTCGATTGTGTTCATCATGAAATATTAATCAGGAAACTACAACATTACGGTGTCAAAAATATTGCACTTAGACTTATTATTTCATATTTAAATAACAGAACTCAAAAAGTCGTTATCAATGGTAAAGGTTCCTCTGGATCAGTAGTATCAATGGGTATTCCGCAGGGATCAATTCTTGGCCCATTCCTGTTCTTAGTCTATATTAATGACTTACCTTATCTTGTAGGGGACAATCACAATATAGTATTATTTGCTGATGATACCTCTTTAATTTTCAAACTAAATAAACTAAACAGTCAATTAATTTTGACAACGTAAATAATGCTCCATTGAAACTAGTACATTGGTTTAACACTAATAATTTGCTCATAAATGGCAACAAGACAAAATTTATTCAATTTACAATACCTAATGTTAACCATTCAAATACCAATGTGCTCTTAAATGAGGAAGAGTTGAGTCTAGTGGATACCACTGCTTTTTTTAGTATTATTATTGACTCGAAGCTTGAATGGGGCCCCCATATATCTAAATTAGCAGGCAGACTTAGTTCTGCAGCATATGCTGTAACAAAGATTAGAAGTCTAACCAATGTTGAGACAGCTAGATTAGTTTATTTTAGTTACTTTCATAGCGTAATGTCTTATGGAATATATGGTGTAATCCAACTGGCATTGAAGTCATATTTGTTTTGCAAAAGAGAACCGTACGGGCGATTTACAACTTAAATTGGAAAGAGCCACTTAGAGAAAAATTTAAGGAAATAAACATATTAACTTTGGCATATTTATGAAAATGTAATGTATGTACATAAATACATAATTAGCTTTTATAATAATACAGATGTTCATACTTCAAACACTAGGAACAAACATAAGCTTGTAATACCAGCGACTAGACTCCACAGAATTAGTAATTCATTTATGCGGCAATGTATACACATTTACAACAAAATGCCTGAAAATGTACAAATTTGTCATTAAACAAGTTTAAATGTTTTATTAAAGAAAAACTGTATAAATTGTACATAAATGAAAATAACCCCTGGGAATGAAGTGATTGCTACCATGCTGGTTCTATAAAAATTCGTACAAAAATTATAACAAAATGAATTTATTGTAAATTTAAATACGTTTAAAAAAATGTCCCACTGGGTTTCTTGTTTCTTCCTAAGACAGAGGTTTTCTTGTGAACCAGTGGTAAATTAAAAAAATGACTAAGTATTATACAAAAATCTATATTGAATAAAAATCATTTATTTCATTTCATATGGAAAAATATGTCCGGTAAACTGCAGTGTGGCTCTACCACATTAGTATTTTATGACAACATAATGCTACATTTGAATTCAACTTTGAATCAACTACACTGCTTTTAAAGTTGGTTTAAAAACTCCTTAAACATTAATTAAATTTAAAAGGAGTTTATGTTACCTGATCCAAGGATCGCGGAGTCCTTTTTTAGCAAGCGCCTGCTCCAGCTCTTCAAGCTGTGGAATACCCTTGGTCTGAAACTGCGAATAATGTGGCACCTTGTACGGCGGTTCGTGCCCGTGTCCACCCATGTCTAAAGATACACAAACAGACCGTCGAGTTTTAGTCATTATCAAAATATATAAAAGTATTAATGATTAGTAACCTATCTAAAATAAATTATTACATAACTCAAGTTTTTGAAAATTGTTACATTAAAAACGAAGGATACAATATATAGTGATATCGGTACTTATTTTTCTTAATTTAATTAAAAATGTAAAAACAATGAATAAAATTAAATTGCAATAAATATAACCTGATTTTGGTTTCAGACTTCCTATTGACAACACCAACTGACAAACAGATAAACAGACGAACACCAGACTTCTATCAAAATCAAAAGACAACGTCAAAAATTAAATTGCTTTTTTATTAAGATTTTTGGCTCGGATGCTTCTCCTTCAAGCCATGTCTTCATTTTATTCGGGATTTTCGTTTTTATAGTTTCTTTTTTTTACATTATGCTGATGCGTTACATTGTGAAATTTTTGGAAGATTTTGACGACAGCTCAACCCAGCGGACAGTCGATGATGACGTCACTCAAGTTCATATGGCGCCTAAGCGATAAAAATGACATGAGGGCATTTATATCTTAGAACAATAATTATTGTTCTGAGATTTATATCAACATCAAAGAAGGTACTTGGTTCGTTAATTTCTATATGCATATGCATAGACACTTAATACACAAAATGGCATCACTTTTATGTATCAGAATCTGCTTCAAACTAATGTTTTGGGCGAAAATCCGTCGATGGTCAAGTTCCCGCCAAAACTCATGATGTCGAAATCTAATAAGTTTGTGGCTTCAAAATAAAAATCAACAGTTGACACAACAGAGTATTACCCTAATTTTTTATTTTATATTTTCATTAATAAAAATTAATCCTCTGTGCTTCTGTGCCATTATTCCGTTCATCATAATCATATCATCATTGTTACAGCCCTTCACAAATCCACATCTGAACATAGCTCCCTCTTTAAAGTTATGGTTTTATTAATTCGTTACAGTTAATATACATATTTAATTTGTAGCATGGAGTGTATAGTGTGTGTCACATAGAAAATAGTCTATTAGCAGTAAATAACAGTTCAAAAACTCCACAACAGTGCCAGAGTAGCGAGAGGGTGTGAAATGAACTTAGCAGTTGTCAATGAAGTGAAGTGTGCTGAGTTGAGGAATTTAATATTGTGGTGACTAGAGTAGTTGATTGCCGTGTAGTGGCGGTTGAGAATATCCACTACCCCATGTCTTCGTGGGTGTCGTAAGAGGCGACTGAGGGAAACAGGCAGGAGATGGGCAGCAGCATCTTCCTGATAACAACAATTACACAATAAAAACTGCGGTTGCCAACCCGCTCACCAAGCGTGGCAACTATGGCAAACATCCCCCCATGAGCAACGACACGAACAAACAGCCCCCAGTCCCCGGCGGCCCCGCTATTCCTGGCTACGGTGGCGACCATGGTAATGGCGGGGCAGGGGGTGCTAAGAATCTCCGGTGGAGGTTCGGTTGCCACCTACATAACGCACGCACCCTGAGGACTGACGAGAAGATACTGGAACTGGAAGAAGAGGTAGACAAGTTGCGCTGGCATATTATAGGATTATCCGAGGTCCAAAGAGAGAGGGAGGACACGGTAATCCTCAAGTCCGGCAATCTGTTCTATCACCGGGAGGGCAACCATCTGTCAAAAGGAGGTGTCGGATTTATCGTTCACAAGTCTCATGTCAACAACGTTGTAAAGATTGAGAGTGTGTCAACGAGGGTTGCGTACCTGATACTCTGAACCGTAGGGGCCAGCAGCTGGCCGACTTTATGGAGAAAGAGGGACTCCTTATGATGAACTCTTTCTTCCAGAAGCAGCCCCATAGGAAGTGGACCTGGTCGAGTCCCGACGGTTCGAAAAAAAAGAGATTGACTACATTATGACAACCAGACATCAACTATTCAGTGATGTCTCAGTGATCGCAAGGGTGAAAACTGGCAGCGATCACCGAATGGTTAGAGGCACACTGAACCTAAACGTTAAGTTGGAGAGGTCTCGTCTAATGAAGTCAACGCTCCGTCCCCCCTCGTGCTCTGATTCAGAATCCCGAAACTTTTCAGCTCGAGTTACAAAACCGCTTTCAGTGCCTAGATGACTGCAATACAACGGACGATATGAATAACAAGCTCGTGTAAACTGTTCATGCGGTCGGAGCTAAATTCTACAAGACCCACCGCAGAAGAACACAAAAACTCTCCGATCACACTCTTAATCTCATGGATGTTAGACGAGAGATGAAGCTGCAGTCTTCAGCAGAATTGACAGCATACAGGCAACTGAACAGACAGATCTCCAAATGCATGTGGCAGAACTTACGCAACTTCAATTCAGCTCTTATTGAAAAATCGTTTGAGCGGGACCAGGGCTTCAAAGTCTTTGCCAGAGATCTGTCTGCCGGAAAGAGCCAACTGTCAAAGCTGAAGACTGACTGTGGCGGCATCGTTTCTGGGACACCTGAGATTTTGAGTGAGATTGAAAGGTTCTATGGGCAGCTGATGATGGGTACATCATCGTTGGAGCCACACGCAAGTGTGCGTAACGATCCAAGAGCAAGTCTTATCAGACATTATTCCGATGACATCCTGGACGTCAGTTTGAGTGAGATTAGAATGGCTCTCCAGCACCTTAAAAACGGCAAGTCCCCGGGCGAGGATGGAATTACAGCGGAGCTTCTGAAAGCGGGTGGAACACCGGTGGAGTCCTTCAGAAGCTCTTGGTAAGTCCAACTTCGACCGAGAGGTCAATCGACGGATTCAACTCGGCTGGGCAGCGTTCGGGAAATTACGTTACATCTTCTCGTCAGGTTTACCTCAAAACTTGAAAACGAAATTGTACAACCAGTGCGTGTTGCCAGTGATGATATATGGGACTGAGACGTGGTCCTTCACTGCTGGCCGTATAAGGACACTCAAAGTCGCTCAGCGAGCTATGGAGAGGGCTATGCTCGGGGTTTCTCTGCGTGATAAACTTAGAAATGAGGATATCCGCAGTAGAACCAGAGTGACCGACATAGCCCAACAGATTAGTAAGCTGAAGTGGCAATGGGCCGGCCATATAGCTCGAAGAACCGACAACCGATGGGGAAAAAAGGTTCTCGAGTGGCAGCCTCGTACCGGTAGGCGTAGTGTAGGGCGACCCCCCACTAGATGGAGTGACGACCTGGTAAGACATGCAGGAAGTCGAATGATGCAGGTGGCTCACCACCGTGCTTTGTGGCATACTTTGGGGGAGGCCTATGTTCAGCAGTGGACTTGTGAAGGGCTGTAATGATGATGAGAATAGTTGATGGAACTGCAGTATTTAAAACCTCATTTTTTCACGTCTAAAATAATTTGGTAAATATAACCTGGACAAAGTCGCGAAACACGTTGAGATTGATTATGAAAATAAAAATTTTGAAAACAATAAAATAAGAATTTGTAACGACAGTGTGTATCAAAAGTGGTTTAAAAGATAAACACAAACTGATTTATACTTTTATTCGGGTAGAGTGTTCCCTTACAAATATTATTATAAAAATGATTGCACAAAATCATCGCTCATGGTTTTTATATCATTCGCTGGCTGGTGGCTACTTCACCTCCCCCTACTCGCAATTTGGCGGGGCAGGGCTCACGTGGTGGGGAAGTGACGCACGAAGTGGGCTGGGCGTGGCGGGCTTGACAGCCGGCTTAACGGCTAGCTAGCGACATCTAGCGTTACACTCGGCCATCTTGTAACAATTGCTCCCGCAATTGAAGTAACAAAACTATGATTACAAGTCAGCTCAAGAAAGAAGTTGAATTACGGGGAAATGTATTTTGATCTAGCTCTCAAGAAGATCTAAGAGATCTTCGGTTTCCAATTGTTCATCACATTCATTCATCCAATCCACACTACTGGCGCTATCGGACACAGAGGCAACGCAAACTTCTTGAAATGTCTACTCGTAAAGGCCTTACCATGATCGGAAACTACGTGATCTGGAAAACCGAATAAACTAAATATGCGTTTTAAAACTCTGATTGTCTCTATAGAATTGATACGCGTAGGCTCAGACACAACAAATTTAGAGAAGGCATCTGTCAATACTAACATGTACTGGTACCCTTTTTTGTTTTGCTAAAAGGGCCCAAATGATCGATATGTACCATTTTCATTGGTTCGGTAGGTTTTGGAATTGGATGTAATTTGCCTTCTTTCCTACCGTATTCCCCTTTACCGTACGTACAATGTAAACATGACGTCACATATTTTCGTATAAATCGGGACATTTTTGGAAACCAGAAATCATTTTTTATAAGTTCTGAGCATCTTTTTAATCCTACACGGCCAATATCGTCATGATGCATTTGTAATATTTTCGATCGCGCTAAGTTTGGCACAACTAATCGGGTACCGTAAAGAGTTCTACGATTAAGCCTACCATCAACGATTACATAATTATTCACTATATCACTATCTGTGCATCCACTTCGCAGTAAATCAATAATACGTTTCGACTTTTCATCTTGATCTTGTACTTTTCTAAACCAATCATTTACTTCTAAACGGTACACATTCATGGCATCTATCGGATTCCTACTTAAGGCGTCTATATGTTTCATACGCTCACCTGGTCTATAGTCAATAGTAATATCATAGTCTTGAATTAAATGCCACCAGCGAGCAATGCGTGGAATAAGATCACGTTTAGTCATTGTATCGCGTAATGAAATACATTCTGTAATTACACGGACGTTTTTACCTAACACATATATACGAAACCTTCGTAACGATTCCACCACTGCAAGCGTTTCGAGCTCATAACTGTGATAAACACTTTCTTCCCGACTGGTGACGCGACTAAAATACAAGACAGGGTGCAAACGACCGTCAATCTGTTTTTGTAAAAGAATACCTGCGATACCTAACTTGCATGCATCCGTGTAAATTTCTGTTGACAAACTAGGATCGTATATCGCTAACACTGGCTTATTACATAATTTATTTTTTAAATTCTCAAAACTAGATTTTTGTGATTCGCCCCATATCCACATCGTATTTTTTTTGTTAGTTCGGTAAGCGGACGAGCTATTATTGCAAAGTTATGTATGAACTTCCTAAAATAACTACATAGACCAATAAACTGACGCACTTCATGTACATTACTCGGAACAGAAAATTGAGACACAGCTGTCAACTTAAATTCACCCGGTTGAATAGATAGATGTCAGATAATGTAGAAATTTACTCATAGATATTAGGTAATGGATAT